AAACATTAGCTAAAGCATAAAGCCTAAAAAAAAAACATGATAAGATGCACGTGAATATGAACAACACAAATCAATTAATATATACACAAACATAGAAAAAAAAAATATTTTGATACCAAATGTCATGCTAGTTAATACAACACATAGTGTCAATATTTGTGATATTAATGAATCATCACAAATTGGATATTCCCCTATATTAATGTGTTTCGATTGAATTATGGTGTTTCGTAATTTGATGTGTCAATTATGGTGTTTCGAAGTTGTTTATTTGGATTAACACCAATACTATGACTTTTAAATATAAAACACTTGAAATTAACGTTAATAACTTTCAGTGTTTTTATATATAATATTTAAATTAATCATCATTTTATTAACTCCAATTTTATATCCATGTGCTTGTATAAAATAATTAAATAATTTTAGTTTTTAATATAAAATTATCTAGTTTATTAATATTAATAAAAAATTGATAAATTATCAGTCAATTAAAAAAAATATCTACAAATTCGTTATACATGAACTTATAAAAAATAGTTAAATCATATATTAATACTAATTACAAATTAATAAAATTATATATCAATTAAAAATTCATCTATAAGTTTATTACATATGAATTGGAAAAATAATATTAATTATATGTCAATTAAAATATTATTCTATAAATCTATTGCATATGAAATAGGAAAATCATTATTTCATTAGAAATTCAAACAATAAGGTGGCATGAGGATTTGTTTCAAACAATATTAAAAAAAAGGACTTTTTAATATTTCAAACAATACGGCTGCATTAACGGGATAAGGCCGCTTTTTGTTGCTGTTAGTGTGTGAAAAGGAGTGTGTGGAAAGGGATAATGGTGTAATTAATGCGTTATTAATGCAGTGTGTGAAAAGGAATTAAAATCTGCCATTTATGGAAAAGAAGTAATGCAGACATGCGTTTGACCATTAATTAACCTACTATTTTTAATAAATGTTAGTAATTCTTATTATATATAAATATAAATTATTATAGATGTTAATAAAATTATTAGAGAAAGAAATATTTTTGAACATATCTGATTTGATCTGATGTAGAATTTTGTATATATAATCAATTAATGCATATATTAAAAAAAATTATGTTCAGCCCGATTTTTTGGCAACCAAATGATAAGGAATAAAAAATTTTAAAATTTAAATTTGAAATGAGACTTGATTTTAGATGCCATCATATTTTGTCTAATAAATAATAAGACAAAATTTTTCCTGATTCAAAATTTTTGTTCAGCCCGATTTTAAGGCAACTAAATAATGAATAAAAAAATTAAATTTTAAATTTGAAATGAGAAACATTTTCTATGCAATCTTTTCCAAAATAAAGTGATAAGGAACTATGCATTTATACAGATTTTCTAGCAATTAGTTAAAATAAAAATTAATAAACGGATGAATGTAGGATTCATTTATGGCAGTCCGATTTTTTGGCAAAGAATTAAAAAGAAAATTGAAAAATTGCTGACTATAGAAAGTTATTAATGTTGTTTGACTTTTCTTCTTACTAAATTTGGCAAATAGTAAATCTTCTTATATATATATAGATATAGATATAGATCTTTTCCAAAACAAAGTGATAAGGAACTATGCATTTATACAGATTTTCTAGCAATTAGTTAAAAAGAAAATTAATAAACGGATAAATGTAGGATTCATTTATGGCAGTCCGATTTTTTGGCAAAGAACTAAAAAGAAAATTGAAAAATTACTGACTATAGAAAGTTATTAATGCTGTTTGACTTTTCTTCTTACTAAATTTAGTAAATAGTAAATCTTTATATATATATATATATATATATAGATAGGTTTGAGGTTTGAGATTCTGAAGTGGTGTGGTGAATGTACACCTCTTGAAAAGCTATTAAATAAATAAAGAAATAAATGAAAGAGGAAAAGGATGGATGCACGTGAAGTTCAACACCAAATATTCCAAATGGAAGTCCATTCCACGCAACATGGGGACGTGAGATAGGGAGGCCCACAACTGACAAATTAATATTAATCTACACTCATTTATTGAGAAAGTAAAAATATGTGGGGCCCATAAAATATGAAATTTGTGAGGTTTATGGTTATTGAGAGTTTGTAAGAATTATGGTATGATTGGTATGAAGGAATGACATGAGAATGGAATGATCATTCCCTTACTTATTCCTTATCCCATAATTGGTATATTTTTTGGGAAGGAATAACAATTCCAATGGGAATGACAAAACCCATCTCTATAAGATTAGTCATTCCACAGTAAATGGAAGGTTTTCTCATTCCCATGTGTGTAGGAATCAATTTTTTAAAAAATAAAATTAACAAATAATAATAAAAAATAAATATATAATATATATTATAAATCATGATTAAAATATATTAAATAAAATTATTTAAAAAAATTCAAAAAAAAATTAAAAACTTACTTTTATTTATTTTTTAATTAGATATACTAAATACTTATATAAAATTAAAACTAAAAAAAGCATTTATATATAATTTAAAAATATATTATTTGATTTTTATATATTATTAAAAATATATTATTTTTTAAATATTACAAATATATTATTGAAAAATATTGAAAATATATATTATTAAAAATATGGTACTTTATTTTTAAATATTATTAAAAATATATTATTTTAGAAAATAAAATTCAAATAAAAAATTGAAAACTTAGTTTTATTTACTGTTTAATTAAAAAATAAAATATTTATTATTAAAAATATATTACTTTTTATTTCTAAATATTATTAAAAATATATTACTTTTAAGAATATATTATTTTTTATATATAATTTAAAAATATATTATTTTATTTTTATATATTATTAAAAATATATTATTTTTATATTATTAAACAATATATTATTCTATTTTTATATATTATTCAAAATATATTATTAAAAATATATTATTTTATTTTTATATATTATTAAAAAATATTTATATATAATTTATTAAAAGTATATTATTTTTTTTAAAAAAAGCTTCTATTTATTTTTATAATTAAAAATGATAATTTCATTCCATTATAGTCCTATTGCTCCTGCATGCCAAACGCATCAATGACAAAACATGTTTCATTCCATTCTCATAATCATTTCATTCTTCAATTCATTCAATTTCTACGAAATTCCTTTCCATCATACCAATCATGCCATTAAAGATTTTGATGATGTGACACATTGAAAAATGAGAAATGAGGTTTGTGTAATTATATTGTTAAAGTTGCTCTAAAGTACAAATAAGGTTATTACTTATTTTCATTTGTCAGTTAGGACAAGCACGTGCAAACCACTTTCCACGTGTGGACATATTTCTATCAATTCAAATTATTTTTCTCAATTTTAATTAAGTTAAAAAAAAACGCGGTTGAGCTTACCAACAATAGTTCTCTTATTTAGAAAATTCAGTTAAATAGTCAAAACAATCTAATTTAAAGTGTGATTTGACTAACTAACATTATATTCTAAAGAAAAAAAAAAGTTTAGTATAAAGTATTGGTTTTTGATTCTATAGATCTTTTTCGAATGTAGTACAATGGCATCTCCAATGAAGTTGTTAAAAGCTTGGTCTAATTTGGAGCTATGCTATTATTTACATTTATAATTTTTTTTTATTTTTATCTCAGCACGATTGGATTTGAATGTCCAACATTGCAAGCTATTTTAGAGTTGTTGAAATGCCCTTAAAAAAATGCTCTTATTTGACTTTTATAAAATGTGTTTGATGAGAACTTACAATTTTCTTTGGTTTCAGAGTTTAAAAAACTTTATTTTAAAAACTATTCCAGCCCATTTTTCTTTGAGAGCAAATTTTTCTTTGATCTTGGATTCTTGAGTGTTCCATTTTCGCTGATTTGTGTGTATGATATTTGCTATTACCTGAGTTTTAGCCTCACTTTCTGATCGCTTCTGAATCGCCCATTTTAGGGATCGTCGGAATTAGGGATTTTAAGCCATGACGGAGATAGATGACGAATTGGCCGGTCGACTAAAGGAGTTCTCGCTTTCAGCCTCGGAAGCTAAAGTTTTTGACATAGCCCAGGAAGATATCCGACTTAGTGACGATGAATGTCAGAGGAGTCTCTTTGGCAAAATCATCGGTGATCGTCCCGCCAGTTGGATAGGTATAAAGAGAACGATGACTCAAATTTGGAAGCTCCGACATCCAATGGAAGTGAAGGAACTGAGTCCAAATTACTTCCAATTCATCTTCCAGAATAGAGATGACAAGAAAAAGGTAGCCAGTGGAACAAGTTGGAGCTTCGAAAACCAGTATCTCATTTTGAGAGAATGGTTCGACCAGATTAACAGCAAGCACCCTAGCTTCCAAGAGTTGAACTTATGGGTCCAGGTGCAGAACATTCCTCTAAATTGGCTAAGTACGGATGTGGGTCGCAAGATAGGTAATGCATTCAGGACTCTTAAGAACGTGGTAATTGCAACCACAGGTAATCATGGAGGTAAGCTTCTCAGGTTGTTGGTCACTTTGAATGTTGATGAACCCCTGCCCAGACTAGCAAAAATCAGACTAGGTGATCAGATAGTAGACGCCTGCTTCAAGTATGAAAAACTTATTAATCTGTGTCATTACTGCGGCAAGATTGGCCACCTTGATAGAGGCTGCAACTCTAAAATGGAGGACCTGAGAAACAATGCTCTTAAAGAAGGTCAGTACGGGGAGTGGCTCAAGGCTCTTGATGGTCATAAATGGACTCCAGTAAGCTTGTCAGATTCCAGATTTTCTCCACCCACTGAAGTTCACAGAGACACAGAGGAAGGAACATCCAATAAAGCTTCATCAAGCCAACAATGGAACAATCACCAATTAATTCCTAGACACGATGCTTTTCAGTCTCCATCCAAATCCATTGATGCAAATTCCTTGATATCGGTCACTAAAACTCCAACCACAGAAGAAGGTGTGGACACTGCTCATCTCCAAATTATTGAAACCTCAGCCATGGAAATGGAGAAAGGGGATACTCTTCTAATTGTCGAGGGCACCCAAAATCACAAAGCAATTTATGCTCCCAGCACAAAACTCCCTAAAACCTGGAAAAGAACATCCAGCAAACTGGGTAGATTGCAAAGAGCTGAAGACACACCAATCATCATAGACCAATTAACTAGAACCAAAAGAAGAAGAGCTGAGCAAGAGCAAACAGAACAGGAACCAGCTGAACCAAAGGAGGATTCTCCACTACCAGAACAGGTTCATTCCAAAAAACTCAAATCAAAGGTGGGGGCTGCCAGCCTGGAATGGCACCACAGTGATAAATGTTAGCTGTGGTGTGGAATTGTAGAGGGCTGGGTGGGCCCTCTACAATTTCCCAAATCAGAGAGCTAAATAGAGCTCATCACCCTCATTTTATTATCCTTTCTGAAACAAAAAGACCAAATGCTTTTGTTAAATCTGTCTGTAATAAATTAGGTTTTCATAATAGATATGCTATTGTTGATCCTAAAGGTCTTAGTGGAGGGCTAGTTTTGATGTGGGATCCTAATGTTGTTATTAATCAGATTTCATGTAAAGACTTTGTAATAGTAGTAGAATTCTGTTTGCAACCCAACCATCCCCAATGGGGAGTTTTTGTGTATCTTAGCCCCTGCAGGTTGCTCAGGGAAGCTCAAAGAGAAGAGCTGCTGATTGATAAGCAGCAATGGGGCAGCCGCTGGTTCACTATAGGAGACTGGAATGATCTCCTTTCCAACTCTGACAAGGTGGGAGGTATTCTCAAACATCAATCTTCCTTCCAAAGCTTCTGCAACTTCATCTCTGACATGGAAATGATTGAGATCAAATTTGAAGGCCACCCCTACACATGGAGCAACAACAGAGCCCACCCAGCCTTTGTTGAAGAAAAGTTAGACAGAGCCTTTGGCTCCCTGGACTGGGCTCACTCATATCCAAATGCCGGAATTCTAAATGTGTTGAGAACTTCGTCAGACCACACAGCTCTACTGTTAAATATGGGAGAACCTAGGGTGAAGAAGAAATCCTGCTTTCAATTTGACAAGAGATGGATAGGCAAGGAGGGTTTTGAGGAAACTGTTCAGAAGGCTTGGAAAACAACAACCACTGGGACTCCTTTCTACCAGCTAAAGGAAAAGGTGAAACACACAAGAATTGCATTGCTAATATGGAGCTCCTCCTTTCAAACCCAGAATCAGAAAGATATTGTGGACTTATCCAAGAAATTGGAAGATTTAAATGCTGACAAATCTGAGAAAAACTGGGAGGAATGGATTGAAACCAGAAAGCAACTCAACAAGGCTCACTCTCAGGAAGAGCTACATTGGCAGCAAAAGGCTAAACATAGGTGGATTAAGGAAGGTGATGCCAATACCCGTTTCTTCCATGCCTTCACACTTCAAAGGAGGAAACTCAATGCAATTACCAGACTGCTCTCTCCTCAAGAAAGAGTTTACTCCACTCAGCAAGATCTGGAAAGCCACATATCAGATTTCTACTCATCATTATTCTCCTCTGAAGGCAGTTGGGGTGGAGACACCATACTTCCTCTCATTCCCAAGACTATAACTTCTGACATGAACAAGGAGCTGCTCAGACCAATTGAGGAAGAGGAAGTCAAACAGGCCTTATTCAGTCTGCAACCTGAAAAGTCTCCAGGTGAGGATGGAATGACAGCTACTTTCTACCAGCACAACTGGAGCTTAATAAAATCTGACTTCATGAAAGCTGTTCATAGCTTCTTCCAATCAGGTACAATGCTCAAATACTGGAATCATACAGTCATCACCTTGATCCCAAAGTGTGTAAACCCAGACTACTTAAGTCAATATAGGCCCATAAGCCTTTGCAGTGTTGTCTATAAAGTTATTTCCAAACTTCTTGCTCAAAGACTCAAAGCATGTCTTAAGTTCTGTATTAGTGACCACCAAGCTGCATTCATTGAAGGTAGACAATTAACTGATAATGTCATCATTGCTCAAGAAGCCTTCCATTTCTTAAATAGACATTCTTCAGGTCCTCATTGCTTCATGGCTATTAAATTAGACCTCATTAAAGCTTTTGACCGTGTTGAATGGCAATGCATTAAGAAGATTATGATCCAAATGGGTTTCCACAGTGATTTTGTGAGACTGATATTGATTTGTGTGTCCACTGCAACTTTCTCTTTCAAAGTTAATGGATCTATATGCGGTTATGTGTCTCCTACAAGAGGAATAAGGCAGGGGGACCCCTTATCCCCCTACCTTTTCATCATTGTTGCTGAACTTCTTACTGCTCTCACCCTCAACTCCATAAATGCTAATCAACTAAAAGGGATGAAATTGTCTAAAAATGGTCCTGTGCTCTCTCACCTGCTCTTTGCAGACGATTCATTATTCTTTTGCAAAGCTGGCTCTGACCAAGCAGGGTATCTCATGAATATTCTTGAGAAGTATAGACTCTTTACTGGGCAAGCAGTGAACCTCCAAAAGTCTGCAATCTTTTTCAGCAGAAACACATCTCCTCACATAAAGAACTCCATCTGCAGAAAATTGAATGGTATTGTCCCACACAGGTCCACCAGATATCTTGGCCTTCCCTTGGGAATAGGCAGATCTAAAAAGGATGTCTTTGAATATCTTCTTACTTCTGTCAGATCAAAACTAACCTCCTGGACAGCCAAACTTCTTACTCCTGCAGGCAAGGAGGTGCTCCTCAAAGCTGTGATCCAGGCACTACCAGTTTATACTATGGCCTGCTTTCTCCTCCCTGTCTCTCTTTGCAAAGAAATTGCTAGGCTGTGTGCAAAATTCTGGTGGCAATCTGGAACAAACCAATCTCAAGGTATTCACTGGAAAAAATGGAATCATCTCTCATTTCCAAAAGAAAAAGGGGGCCTGACTTTCCATGATCTGCAAACTTTTAACAAGGCTCTGATCTGCAAGCAATTGTGGAGGATTGTCTCCAACCCTGATCTCCTGGTTAGTAAAATACTCAAGGATAGGTACTTCCCTAACTCAACTCTAGTCCATGCTACTAAAACTCAGAGTGGTTCATGGATGTGAAATTGCTGGATGGAAGTCCTTCCTTTTTTTGCTAAGTGACTCAAAATTGAAATCAGGAATGGCAGCAATACAAGAATTTCATATCTGAATTGGATTCCAAACCATCAGAAACCTGCTCCTGAGCTTATACCAATTGCCAGGGGACACTTAATATGGGTGAAAGAGCTAATGCTACACAATGGCACACAGTGGAATGATTGGCTGATTAAACAAGTTTTTGATAAAGAGGACAGTGATGCAATTCTCAAAATCTCAACCATTAACCCTCTTAGACAGGACAGAATCTTCTAGGGATTAGACAAGAAAGGCATTTTCTCAGTCTCCAGTACATATGCCTATCTCAACTCCATCAGGCTTCTTGCTATTGACTTACCAGAAAGCAGCTCATCCTCAGGTATCAAACCTTCTATTAAATTCAGACATTGGAAGATAAAAGTTGCTGGTAAAGTCAAACACTTTATATGGAAATGTATCACAACCACTCTGCCTGTTGCAACACAATTGAGGAAAAGAGGACTGGATCTGGACTCTACATGTTCAATGTGTGGGAATGCTGCAGAAACAATAGAACACCTGTTCTTCTCATGCCCTAGAGCCAGGAAAGTGTGGCAGCTGAGTCCTCTGCAATGGGATGGTATCACTGGTTTCACAGACTCCTTTAAAGCTTGGTGGTACCAGGTTTGTTCTCTAGACCATTCTGAAGTGGTTGAAGCTAGAATCCAACTAACAACGTACATGCTTTGGTGGCTTTGGAAGTCCAGGAACTTATGGCTCTTCCAACACTCATTGATTCCTGAACACACTCTTATCAATTTGGCAACATCAGATTGGGAAGACTATTCCTCATTTTCTTAGATTGTACTCTCTTTTGTTTTTTTTTTCTTTCTCTTGCTGTTTGTTCTAGTGTAGAGCTCCTTGCTAGGCTTTGAGGCAGTGGCTGGAGTCTCTACACCTTTTGTTTGATGGCTTTGGTTTGTGGCTGTGTTGGTTGGTGGTTTTGTTGGCTTTGGTTTGTAGCAGGCAGGATGATTGTGGTTTGTAGCTTTCTAGTTTGTTTGGTTAGTTGGTTTGCTTGTTGAGGCTCTAGACCGCTTTTAGCGTGTCTCTCACTTTTTTAGTTTCTCGGTTTNTTTGAATAACTCTTTAGTTAATAGCTTTTAAATTTTCAAATAAATTTACCAAACAGATTCATAATAATTTTTGAAAATTAACTTGTAGCTTAAAAAAATATTTTTTTTTTACTTTAAAGATTTCCAAAAATTTTGAGTGAGTAGGTTTTCAACAATACTAGTCGTTACGATGCACGAGATGATATATTTTACTAGAATATTTATATGCAATATTAAAATTGACAGACATGTTATATATGTAATAAAAGTAAATGTGTCACATACAAACTAAGAAATCATAAATTATTGAACACTTTCTTGTACACAACGTTTTTTATTTGATTTCATGACGAGTCATCGTCACCATAGAATAATATTTTAAAATTACCTCGGTTGGTGACACGAGAGACAACAACGTATAACTACTCATGACTAAAAATCGGCTTCTTAATAAATAAACTTGTTATAACGATTGTCCCTTATCTCTTGTTTACATCATGGCGTATCATTATCTCTTGTTTACATCATGGCGTATGAAACTATAATGAGAAACTGTCGCCGCTATACCTTGATATGAATTCTAACATCGGAAAGAGTTATAGTCATTCTAGGAATCAACACCTTATGCGTAGTCCCCAGTGATTATCTTACACTCTAGAGCATTAATGCAAAACAATCATCCGAGTGGGCACTCATTTGAGTTCTTAATTGAGACGGAATCAATTTCATCAACCAAGCCTATGACATCTAACAAATCCATAAAACATCTAATTAGAATAGGAAAACATATTAAGATTCAAATTTAATAATGGACTAAATTGTTGAACATACTAAAACATCTAATTAGAATGAGAAAACACATTAAGATTCAAAATTTAATAGTTGACTAAATTGTTGAACTTACCAAAAAAGATGGGTTCATAAACATTGAAAACTGTTGATTTTTCCCAGGCCAGCCCGAAATTATTTCCAACATATTCTGGTACTTCGCATCAATGTTTCGCTCAAATACGCGGACAACCCTTGATTTCAAGTGTGACTTGGTCTGGAAAATGGACTTGAGATCACCCCACACAAACGGTATTTTTATGTGCTGAAAATATTAGAATAGAATAGTCTATACAATGTTGAAATAATGAATATTGTGTTAAATGATTGTGCTATTGACCACTTATATAGGTAAATGGACTAAAAATTTCAAATATGGAATCTTTGCATGTTGTAATAATTGTGATATTTAATGTCTTCTAAATGTTATTTGTTTAAAATGTTAACGTGTATATTTCCTAAGTAATAGGTAACAAGACGTGCAACATTTGAGTTAGAATCCGATATCTTTTAAATTGTGATAACAATGAATCTTTTAAATGTCATAGTTTACCGATACCATACATGTTTTCAACCATATCCGAATAAGGCACATTCCAATATGTAAACACATTGTGACGTTTACTTCAATTCACATGTTATTTATTTTTTTTTTTTTTGAAATACTTATGTATATACTTCCTAACTAGTACGTATCCCGTGCGATGCACGGGTCAGATATGTTAAATTAATCATTTTCATAGGGCATTTTCGTTCGAGCCTGAAAAACAATAGAGTTGGATCATCTATTTTTCACATCTTTGATTTTTTTAGTCATAGCCTGAGCATATTAGCCCTTGTTTGTATTATCCCACTAAAACGTTTATATTAATATAAATTTAATTATGGCAGACATTTATTCCTTAATATAAGAAAAAATAATTGTTTTACATATTCTTGTTCACCATATAATATTTAATTTATTATTATAAAATTGTTGTCATATAAGGTCATTACAATTTTTTATGAAAGTTATAGAAGTAGTATTCTACTTCTTTTTATTTTAAGTAATGAAAAATTTTTAATGACGTTATTTTAACTTATTAATGTAGTTAACTTAAATTATGTAAATAAATCTAAAATAAAATATTTTGTATAAATATTTTACAAAATATTTTAGAATTTAATTTTTTATAATATATAAATAACTTTGATTTTAGCAATTGCTAATAACTAAATTCTGTGTATAATCAAGAGATTTTTCTAATTTGCATCATGAGGCTTTATAGTTTATTTAGCATACTAATACTATGGAAATATATTTTATAATAATTTTATTATGAAAAGAAATAAAAATAAAAAAATTTATCATAGTTGACATAATATACAAATAAATCATGTGTTGAAATTCTAAAGAATATTTAAAATATATTTTAATTTTATGATCTGGTCATTGGGCAAAATTATTTAAGGTATCTTGCCATTATCTCTTAAATGGTAAATTATATTAATTTGAAGGATATTTTTTTTTATCTATAGTGAAATAAAGTTTAAGAAAAAATTATATTGGGAAAGATTAATTCACTGACTTGATTTTTCCTGATTAATTGGAAGAAAACAAGTTAACTAACTTGTTACGATTTTCTATAAATATTTTAGGATTAGGATGAAAAGTCAATATTTGTGAAAAAAATATAATAATATGGCTAGAACTTAAAATATATTTTTATGTTTATCTTGACCAAAATAGTATCAACATGAATCATGGAACATTATTTTTGTTGTTTATTATAATTGATATCAATGAAATTATTGAAAATGTTAATAAAATTATTCAATGAAAGAATCTTTTTTTATCATATTTGATTTGATATGATTTGAAAACATGTATATGCAAGCAATTAATGCATATATTTAAAAAGTTTTCAAAAAAAATATGCATTTAATCTTCCCAGATTTTATTGCTACTATATTTATAATAAATGTTTATTCTCTTTATATATATATAGATATAGATTTATATTATATTTCATGTATTCCGTCCTAAACGGACTGCATTCATATAATCGATCCCTTATAAACTAATCTGAACAGTATACAATAGTAAACTGAATAATATACATAATACACATGCCCCGAATGACTTGAAAATTTACAGCATACTATGAACATATTTTCATTATATAACATGCATAATCTTACCGTGATATAAATACGTGAAGACATATAAGGAATTAAATAACACAAAAATCGCTAACTTAATAAATTAAGTAAACTACAACATTATTATGTTAACGATTGTTATTTCCAAATATGAAACGAACAAATCCCACCATTTAAGAGAGTATTTAATTGTTGCCTGATTTTATGGTAAAAAAAATTCAAAAAATTTCCAAAAGTGACATGCAATTAATTTTGGCGGATTTTTTTGCTTACTATTTCTAATAAATAGTAATTCTTATTATATATATAGATTAATATTTTTAAAATTGTGCAAGTTTGGGTTGAATCTATGATATCCGAATATTTTAATTTGTGATAATGATGAATTTTTTAAATGTGATATATTCTATTTTATATGTGCCTGTTTCCTAAAAATTAGGTAGCAATAAATGGTCCTTGTTGCTTTTGAACTGAATAAAATCGGTCTTGATCTGGTAAAATAAGACGTCGTCTGTGGTCTTGAAACTCTTTTACATGTTATTTATTTTAACTTAAACATGTATATGTTCAACATAATAGGAAACAACATAAATGATTCATGAAGGTTATTGTATTAACCCAACACGACCATATTTTTATTGCAAATTTATTTTTAATCATTAAATTAACCGGTCGTGTGATGTGGAACAGAATAGCAGAATGTCGTCTGTGATCTTGAAACTCTTTTTACATGTTATTTATTTTAAGTTGTTGACTTGCGTATGACATTTCAATTTATTTTGCTTTAGTGAGGTAATCTTTAATTAATTACACCCGTCCATTCTAGTAATCATACGGTTCAAATTATACGCTTATATTCATATTCACGATTTCTTTATTGATAGCTTAAAACTTTAGGTTTCTTAAAAAAGAGTTTAAAACAAAATTATTGTATCAACAATTTTTAATTCACATGTTTTTTAAACATAACTAGTATGTGGCCCGTGCGATGCACGGGAAACAATATTACAATTATATTATAAATTTAATATATAAATAACATTAATCTTGATTTACACATTGTCTTTAAAGTTGGACTGGACCGAACAGTCTGACTGTGTGGACCGAAAACCACTTTATCGATCAGTACGGTTCGCTTGAATAAAATATTTGAAAGAGAACCGGTCAACACCAGTCGGTCAGACTGGTTGTATCGGTGCGATTCTTTAAATAAATTTTGTTACATTTTAAACTATTTTTTTTTTGTAAATAAAAAATAAATATTTAAATAAAATAAAGATTTATAGATTATTTATCATTTAGTTTGAACATTGAAAATTTTTAAATTGTGAGATATTTAATTAATACTTTTTAATAAATTTATTATAAAAAGCACTATATATATTAAAATATTAAAAAATTAAATTCTGATGTAACTAATAAACTATTGAATAATTAACTTGATCAGTTTGAAAACGATCATTTTCTAAGAACTTTTATTTACCGTGCATTAATAAAGTTGTACTGCATTATCATTTTGTTCACATAAATATTAATTATATATGTTGTTCACATAAATATTAATAAAATAATATATAATTGCTCATAAATCATTGAACATGTTGTGATAAAAGCAACTTAATATGATTATTTGGAATATGAACTACATTACATTTAGTTACATTTAGTTCAATAATCGATTTCGTCTGGTCAAACTGACCCATAACCTGGTCACCTGAGATCAACCTCAGTTGTGTCATTGACCTATAACTCGGTCACCCGGGATCAACCTTAGTTGTGTCATGTTTTTGTACTATTTTAAATATCAACTCATAGTGAGAATTAAGCTAATTCAATCACCTGATTTATCAAATGAATTTTTTTTTATTTTCCATAAATATATGTAACTATACGAAATAAAAAATATTTATGATTCATGTAGTAAATGATTATAACAAATTACAATATATTAAGATTATAAATTATATATCTAAATATAAGTTAAATATTTATTACATTATGGATGTTTATAAAAATAATAAACATATTAATTTCTAAAAATTTAAAATTAATCAATTGATTTTGCAATTCGATAACTCCAGACCAACATGAGTTACTACATAGCATAGATATTTGCATATCAATTATTATGTTTTTAAACATAATAATTTCTTCTGCTTATATAATATATATATAAGTACTTATTATAACAAAATCGATCAACGGATTTTTTGATGATTTAATGTATAAGAAAATTGAAAAACTAAAGGATATCTTTTAGTGTTAATACCATTAAATAGCCATTAAAATTTACAAAACACAAATTTTGGCCACCTTTTATAAAAAACATCTTTTTTAGCCATTTTGACATGTATTTTTACTACATTACCCTTAAACACAATTATAATTTCACCATTTTTTTTCTTTCCTCTCAAATTCAATATTTCACAACATAATTCCCCCAAATTATTCACTTCCACTTTCAATCGTGCAAAAAAAAAAAAAAAAAAATTAAAAGAAGCTCGCGACCTCCTCGCCGTCAATTACTCACCTCCACTCACGAAGACTTCACGACCTCCGCAGACGATCTCGCCGACGACGTCCGACCTCCGACCGTGCTCCTCGCCGGTAAAAAATCGGCGGAGGCATGGCTCTGGCAGCGGCGCGACATCTGGACCCCTCCGGTGGAAGCGGCGTCTCGATCTTAGCGTTTGGCAGCCTGATACTCTAATCGACGGCGTGGGTTGGCGGGTGGTCTAGTGCCTGACCGGAGACGGCCGGCGGCTTTCAGGTTAGGGTTTTTTGTTGTCATGTTAAATTTTTTTATGTTGCAATATGCTCTTTGGGCGGAACTGCAACGAGCGGACTAACTATATATAATATGATGCTAGGGGTGACAGATCTGAGCTTCGACTAAGCCGTTGATTTTCAAAGCTTCGTTTAGAGGTTCTTGGCTTGGCTCGGGCGCAGCCCAGATCGGTGGAGCCAGACAACAGGCATTCCTTCGACCTTAAGCTTGAGGAATGAGGATGCTCTCGTAGACAACAGCCGTTGATAGAAAGGGTGGTTTTTGTCCATGTTCCAGAGGTATATTCGTTAACTGTGTGTACTTCCTTTATGAAATTAAGTATATGAGGTGGGAACTGGAAAGAGAAATGCTCCTTTCTCTCTTATTTTTAGTCGTTGTGGTGCTTTTATTTGAGAAGTGTGTTGATTTTCTCCCTGGTTTTTTTAAATTCTTACAGTCTTCATGAATAAAAGAATGCCTGTGGAGATGGGGAATTTAGCACCAAAATGAGGTATATGGCTGAGCTTATATTACTTTTCTTTTTAATGGCCGAAATAAGAGTTTAAATTCAGTTTAAAAGAGACAAAGAGCATGCTTAACCTTAGTTGAAAATTTGAAGAAGTTGGAGTTGTTTTGTGTGTTATTTTGTGCCATATTTTGTACCTTACTCGCTGAGCCTCCTTATGCGATGTATGGCTAAATTTTTACATGCTGATTGGAGTAGATTTTATAGCTTTTGGATTCAGTTGTAAGGCCTTAAATTTTAGTGGAGCATGAGTAGAGAAAAGAGAAAATTTGAAGCATATTTGTATTGCTCTTATTCCTTATTTATTGCCATGTCCTGCTGGGCATGCACGCATACTTAGGATACTGATTATATGTGTGTTCAAACAAGTCAGTATCAGTAGTTTGAGCTTAACATAGTTGTGTTGTTTGAGCTTAACATAGTAATATACCAGGAGTTAGAAGCTGAACCTTCCATTTGGTAGTCATTGCGTATATGATTTACATTTCGATTTTTTTTTTTTACATATTTACATTTTCTTATTTGACAAGTGCTTCGATTATCTACTAATTTTCACGTTTTCTCAAATCATTTTAATTGTTTCTTTATTCAGGTGGAGATGATACTTCAAGCCTTAGAATATGAAAATGGTAAATAAGCATTGTCCTCTCTTTTTTTTCCTAGTACATTTGAATACTTTGATTTTTTGAATCCTGAAGTGTAAGAATATTTAATCTCCGTGATTATTTGATCATATTTTAATAACTTTCTTGGTAACTGACATGCCAACTGATAAACTGGCAGTTTTCCCCAGGGTAAGTGATAAAATTTATGAGACTAATGTTTCACCTAATTTTGTTGGTATCTGTCTAGCCAAAATGTTTTGGTTACTCGAAAACTGATACATTATCTTAAATGCAGAACAATGCAAAAATTTGGAAGAGTTCTTTGAGTCAACTGCAGGTGGTAAAATTACAGAAAGAAAATGGCCTTAGCTATTTATGCACACGGGAAGCTTGTGGATAGAGCTAAAAAAGCTGGCCTTACAGCTTACAACCATAATCTTGACACATCTAGAGAGTATTATCCTAACATTATAACAACGAGAACCTATGATGAATGCTTGCAGACCCTAGCTTGTCTCATATTGTGTTTATTTGCTTATGTGTTGGTTTCATAGTATGAAAAATGTTTGCATTGAATTAGATTTAGGAAGTGTTTACAAACTTCTTGAAAAAAAGCAAATAGATTTTAGTTTTCTGAAATTTCAACTTTTGGTTTTGCTTCTATTTTCGATTAAATTGAAATTTATAGTGGTTGAGGGATTTTGTAGAAGTGCTTTTGGCATTGTTTTAAATAAATGGAAATTCATTTTGACGTCTTTTTCATTTTCTTCTGCTTTTATTTTTGTTTCAATAGGAAATAAAAATTGCAGATTATTTATCACACTTCATTTGGAAATACAAATTTAACATGAACTTGTTTAACTTGTGGCAATCGATTATAAAAACAGAAGCAGACATAATAAATGTGTATTTAACAACTTCATGTTGGAATGAATTTTGTTTTTTTTTTTTGTTTTTTTTTTTTTTTTTTTGTTAAAAATGTGTACTGAATAAATTGGAAAATGTGTCAAAATATATTTTTACATAAACAGGGCAATACACTTTGAATTAGTTGCTTTATAATTGTAACTAGTACAAAACCCGTGTACTAGGTGGAATAAAAAGAATTGCTTTTAGGGTTCAACTTTAATACACTTTTGTGGTACTGTTTGTTTGGGATTGATTGTTAAGTAGATATTAATATTTTGGTTTTTAATGCACCTTCTTCAATATTGTGTTCAAACAAAAAATAAAAAATAAAAAATTAACGCTTTTGATTTTTTGCTTGCTTATTCATTAGCTTTGGTACTTTCAGGAGACCTTGAGAAAAGCTGAAGAGATTTTCGGGATGGATAATAAAGACCTCTACATATCATTTTAGGGGTTGCTAAACCGCATCATGCATTAGGAAGTGCATTACAAATGAAGTTTGTGCTTCAGTCTCTAGGTTATGAGGTTTTCTGTAGAGTGACTCGGTGTACGCTTCATTATTTGACTTTTAAACATGGATATGTGAACACTGTTGATTGATATTTTGTTTTAAGAAATGGTTGATTTTAGAAATTCCTTGCAAAAAATATTCAAAATTTGTGCAAGTTCTATTGTTGGGACTTTAGATGGCACTAATGTATAGTACATATTCAAAACAGAGAACTTACGATTCACAATCTGTTTTTACTTTCAGTAAACCAACAATACCATTGTTTTCAAACATCACCATAGCAAATCAAAAGAAATCACCAAATCAATGTGTTGGATGATGCCCCATGCATGGATACGCAGTTTTGCGTTGGATGATGTCCAGAAAACTGTGACGTAGGGCTTGGAACATTTCCGGTCGCTTTCCTCTGAGCATGCACCAAATTAGAACTTTTTCACACATCTGTAAAACAAAGATGCAAAACTATTTTACTGACAAATAATTCCCAATAATTAGTAATTAAGCAATCAATGTTTAATAAAACAAATAAAATTTGAAATAGAAATGATTTTTAGAATCACAGAAATGGTTTATACGATTCGAAAACAGATTTCTGGGACCAGAAATCAAATTTTTGCCCCCAAAAATCGATTTCTGGGGAGCAGAAATTGGTTTCTGGCCCCAGAAATCGCTTTCTGACCCAAAAAAATATTTTCTGTGGAGAAACCACAGAAACTAATTTCTGGACCCAGAAATCGTTTTCTGGGCCTAGAAATCGATTTCTGGACCCAGAAACAGATTTCTAAACCCAGAAACAGATTTGTAGACCCAGAAATCGATTTCTGGATCCAGAAATCGATTTCTACAGAAAGTAAGGAAATCGATTTTTTGGTCATTTTTGGAGGCAGAAATCGATTTCTGGGACCAGAAACCAGAAATCGCAGAAATCAATTTCTGTGACCAGAAATCGATTTCTTGTTCAGAAATTGATTTCTGAGACCAGAAATACTAGAAACCAATTTCTGTGTCCAGAAATCGATTTCTGGGTATCTTCTGGTTTCTGGGACCATAAATCGGTTTTCTGGGTCCAGAAATCGATTTCTTGGCCATTTCTGGAGACAGAAATCGATTTCTGAGACCAGAAACCAAAAATCGCAGAAATAAATTTCTAGCACCAGAAATCGATTTCGGTGACCAGAAATCTATTTCTGTGACAAGAAATCCCAGAAATCGATTTCTGGGACCAGAAATCAGAAATCACAGAAATCAATTTCTAGCTCCAGAAATCGATAGTAAGGTCAAATTTGTCATTTTAAGTGCCAAAATGGCTAAAAAAGATGTTTTTGGCAAACTATGGCTAATATTTGTGTTTTATAATTGAAAATGGCCAAAAAAAAAATTCACTGTATCTTTTAATTATACTTAATATAATCAAGTAAAGTATGATTTTTTTGATTTGGCTTAGATAATTATTGTTAATATATAAACCAATGGAATCAGATTTTATGAAACTTTACATACAAATCAATTTCGAAAAAAAAGGAAGGCGGTTGACTCCATGCGCGTGAGGAGTGATTTTTTAGCTATTATGGAATGAGATCATGCTAATATAGTAACAAAAAATGAATCTAACAAACAATACGGCTTTCAAAAAAGAAGATAACAATCGGCTGGTAAAAGATCTTTGATTTTTTTTTAAAAATTGCCATAAGTAGTAAGTGAAATAGGTTGACTCATCATTCTTTAAAAGTTTTCACAAATGATTTATTGACCTCTCTTTTTCAATATATATGGATTTTGGTATAACATCAATAAGAAAAAGACAGTATTCTAATTTGATTTACATAATTACTAGTGTGTAGCCCGTGCGATGCACGGGTAAATAATATTAAATAATAATTATAAATTAACGATGATAGTAAACAATATTAACTAATAATTATAAATTAAATACGAGGGTAAACAATATTGACTAAAAATTGTAATTAATTTGTGGAGTTAATATGTGACATAATTTATCGTATATCAGTTGTAACCAATATAAAATTATCTTGTATAAAATAACATAAAAAATGTATGTTTAAAATATTAAAAACACCTAAAATATTATATAACGTATCTGAAGTATCTAAAATTTTATATATCATTATTGAAAGATGTGAAGTCACCCAAAATATTTCTAAACTATTTTATAAATAAAACATGTAGTCCATGTATCTCCTGTTAGTCAGGCCGAGTTATGTTCGCAGACAATTTTGTTCGATTTACAATTCTAGTCACCCCCCCTCCCCCAAAAAAAATATTTTTCTAGATACTTCCCTGATTCTAAAATTTTTATTACCTTCTGAAGTGAGATTTTATAAATATAGAGATTGAAATTTTAATGTTCTTCATTATTTCTATGAAAAAAATAAAAATGTACACTTAATAGATCTTAGCTGAAATTTTTAAATAATAAAATGAATTAAAGCCCAAAATTTAATGCAACATTTAAGGTTGTATGATTTTTTAAAGATAAAAATAAAAAAATAATAAAACTTACTACTTATAGGTTGCATTAAATTCTCTCCTATTTTTTTGCTACTATTTTTGTTAAATGTTAATTCTTATTATATATACTAGTACGTACCCCGTGCGATGCACGGAAGGGAGATATTAAATGATTTATTTTCACATGCTATGTTCTTTTAATTCTAAAAATCAATAGGGTTTCATCTATTTTCCACCTCTTTTTAATCAGCGTGTTAAGTCTAAAAAATAATAGGGTTATAACCTCTTTT